CTACTCCCAACCCAGGTTGGAAGCCGCCATGAGAGATGCCTTTGAACCATTGCAGGCCACAGTGGTGCCAACACTGACAGGGCTCAAGAGTACGCTGGGTCCTCTGCCGGAGCATGGGGCCGACATCCGTGCCCTCAGGGAGGTCATCCTCTCCATTGAGGACATTGCCACCCGCGCTTTGAAGGGTGTGGAAGACTCGTCGTGGGATCAAAATGGCCGACTCAATGCTATTGAGCTATTGGGAACCAGATCGGCACGGTTGGCACAGATGTTGGAAAGGGCCTTCAACATGCCCACAGGAAGCTGGACTCCATACATGCTGCCCTTGGAAGCAAACCAGCAGGCAGCACGGATGGGGGCACAGACTTTACCAGTATCCTGGTGGCTGTCAAGGACCTCCAGACCGAGATGAAAGCTATGAACCAGAACATGGAGAAGCTGCAGACTCAAGTCCAATACCTCGAAGGACGCATGGAGACTGCACTTTCGAAGTTGGTGGTGGTGGAACAGTCGACCAACAAGTTGGCAGCGGCTCGCCCAAAAGCGCCGCCCCCGAGCTCACCGGCACCGAACATGCCCGCGGAGGAGGCGCCTTTGCCCCCACCTTCGCAACCCCCTGGTCAATGGCAGGCCCCCGTGACTGGGCCCTCGGTGGGGCCATGCATGCCTGCGGCCACTCGTACGGCATCAGTGTCGGCACCGACGATGCGGTTGGCTCCACACGTGCAGCTCCTTCAGCCTACACCTCAGGTGCCACACAACGCACCTACCATGCCGCAGGGGAGTGGGCACAACCAACCCGTGAACGAGATGGTGAATTTGGTCTGGAATGGGCAGGTCTTTCCTGTCCCAGCAGCGGCCGTGCAACATGGGCCGTGAATGAGAGCCCTGCAAGTCTGCAGGCACTGAACGGCCTTGCCTGTAGCGCAGCATCATTCGGGGGTCAGCCGACTTGAGGGTTTTGTTGCATAGGGCTTCTTTTGTACCCTGCTTTCTTTTTCTCTGCGGCTGACACCTGGATCTGTACACTTTCTCGGGGTTTTATATTTCCCCTGCACTGCTGCACTGTTTTTCCACTTTCTTGCACTGCCTTCCTTACTTGTACTGTACTGCCTGCCTTCCTGCCCTGCCTGCTTTGCTCTTGCACTGTTTTTCCCTCTTGCTCCATGATCCTTTCCTGGGGATGCCTGGACATGAGCCATGCAGTGATCCGCGGTCGGGACAGCCAAACTCCGGCTGCTTTGACAATGTACATACACACCTAACGTGCGCCAGACGAGGAGCCAGACGAGGAGCCTGACGGCATAAATGTGGGCTTACGCGCGAGGGTCTAGAAGGACTGCCTGCTCTTTTGTGGTGAAATGTTCATGACGCCTGTGTGGATTTCATTGTCCTGTGTCCCTGGCAATGGTGCGTGTGTTATGCCTGCTTCTGGAAATGTGCGTGTATGGGTGGATGTTGCTGCGGCCCCCTGGTGGTGCTGCATGGGTGATGCCCCTCCCCTCTCTCTCCGCCTGTGCCCCACCTGCCTCTCCCCTTCATGAGTGCGGTGAGGTCTATCCCTCACATACCGGCTGCAAGCCGACCTGCCGAACAGGGGGTATATTCCCTCATCTTTGTTACGGCCCTCGACGGCTCCGGGGATTGGCACTGGGCTGCTTGAGCTCATCGACTTAGTCCGATTAGAAAACAAACGGCGCGCCATGGCATGACGGTTTCGACAACTGCTGAAATCTGCTGGACGATTGCTGCAACAATCGGACAATTTGGATGAGTTACTTGGATGGCTCTGTATCAGCACCTTCCGGACCGGGAGTGGACCTTCAAGCATCTTGGTTTCCTGCTTCTACTGCAACTTTTCGGTGCATGCCGTGCAAACTGCGGATTTCAATGGGGAGAACTTTGTATCCGCTCCTAGTTGGTGTTTGCCTGGCCTCGATACCCCTGCTGGAACCTGCTGGATGCTTTGCTGACGCTCGGACATCGTGGTTGAGCTATTTGGGCTGGGCCTTTCAGCATTTGGCCACACCTGCTGGACCGGAGATGACGCCTGGGGACGACCGACATGCATGGATCACAGGAAGACTCACATAGAGGATGTGGGGCTTTCCCGGACACGAGACTTCACTGTCTAGCTGGTTCGCACCTTCTGGAAGCCGCTGCATGCGAGAGATTGGATTTCCGAACCCCCTTTCATGCAGGGATCACTGGGGGCAAATGTTGCAAAAACGTTGCCTGTTTGGGCCCTCAGGGCAAGGAGCTGTGTCACTTGGGCTTTTACTGGACTGGAGGCTTTATACCGCATGGGGAGCTCGTTGTCGTACGGATCGAGGGGCTCACGAGGTTTAAAGCTTGCATTTTGGAATCTGTCGAGATTGGCTGATGCGTGAAAGCTGTATTGCGCCATGAACTTACGCCTTCGATGATGGATGGTAGATTTGAATGTGTAGAAGACTGAGTCGCCGATGTTTTGTTAATGTTGAACGGTTGGCCCCAATGTGGGCTGGCATGCCTTATGTGAAGTCGTGAGTTGCCGAACCCTCGTCTGACTTGTCGAGCACGAGTGACAAAAAACACGAGCATGAGCACTGACACTAATTTATATTTACTAATAACTAATACTGACATGTATACTATTACAGCAAACACTAGTACTAATATTATTAAGAACAGTACTCATCCTAATATCGATACTTCCACAAAACTATCACGTAACTCATGTGCCGCGCGTCTGGTGCATGCGTCCTCAGTACATGGCATGTCAAAGTATATGTTGTATATCTACTGCAAATGTTTTACTTTACAGATTGTCGTCGGGTGTGGTGTGCTTTGATACAATCTCTCAAGGAATTGGTGGCATCGAGAGCATCTTGCAAGGATATGTCATCCCCGTCGCGGATCATGCTGGAAAAGAGGAAAAGAGGGACACAAACGATGACTTTCACTCGGGAGAGAACTGCAACGGATATGTCGTGGAACATACCGCACCTTGACATGGCATTAAGAGAAAGCATATGCCATGTGTATACACGTGACAAACAAAGACATAATAGGAACACAGCATCCAAGGTTAGCAAATGCCGCCTGGCTCGAAAATCACCAAAATTTGTAAAGCCTGAAATGCGAAAACATCGGCAGGGATCAAAAATCACCAAAATTCCCAAAATCGTGGCATCTATGGGGCCATGGGTGTTTAGTTTTGCAAAACTTTGGGGATTTTCGAGCCTGGCAATGTTTTAGCATCCGACGTTGACGAAATGCCGCCAGGCTCGAAAATCCCCAAAATTTGTAAAGCCTGAAATGCGAAAACACTGGCAGGGATCAAAAATCCCCAAAATTCCCAAAATCCTGGCAACTATGCGGAGTGCGGGGCCATAGTCTCTCACATTTTGGGGATTTTGGGGATTTTTGATCCCTGCCAGTGTTTTCGCACTTCAGGCTTCAGGAATTTTGGGGATTTTCGAGCCTGGCAGTGTTTTAGCATCCGACGTTGACGAAATGCCGCCAGGCTCGAAAATCCCCAAAATTTGTAAAGCCTGAAATGCGAAAACACTGGCAGGGATCAAAAATCCCCAAAATTCCCAAAATCCTGGCAACTATGCGGAGTGCGGGGCCATAGTCTCTCACATTTTGGGGATTTTGGGGACTTTTGATCCCTGCCAGTGTTTTCGCAGTTCAGGCTTCAGGAATTTTGGGGATTTTCGAGCCTGGCAGTGTTTCAGCATCCGAAGCTGCCCACCTCCCATGATCCACTGCTTACCAAAAGCAAGCATAGTATGGATCATGGGGGGGGGCGTAAGCATATATATATATATATATATGTACATATATACATATATATATATATATATGTACATATATATATATATATATATATATATATATATAAGGTCTGCAGACGAGGCTCTCGTCCCGAAAGCCTCGCCAGGACCGGGGTCCCGCCGAGTCGCGGCGTTCGGGTCTGGAGCTGCCCGGGGGACAGGCAGGGCATGGCTTTAGGGGTTTAGAGGGTTTAGAGGCTTTAGCCTTAAGGGTTTAGGGTTTAGGTGTTGGGGTTTGGGGCTTTAGGGATTTGGGGGCTTTAGGGGTCTAGGGTTAAGGGGCTCGGGTTTAGGGCTTTAGGGGTTCAAGGGTTTAGGGTGGTTTAGAGGTTTCAGGGGTTTAGCTTTTTGGGTTGAGGGTTATGGTTTAGGGTTGAGGGTTCAGGCTTTCGGATTTAGAGGCTTAGGGTTTAGTATTTTTTGAGGGGTTTAAAGGCTTTAGGGGTTTATTGTAGCTTTCAGGGTTTAGGGTTTAAATTTAGGGGGGTTCAGAGGTTTTAGGGGTTTCGGTTCGCGGGACTTCGCCGGTCTCGGATACAGGAGTTTTCGGACTGTTTTGGTTGCGGGTTTCGGGGTTTTGGGTTTGGTGTTTACATACCAGGCGTTTTGAAGATCAGCTTTCGGTTCCGAGCAGAGGGTTTTGCTTCAAGGGCATCTGCAGAAGTTGCCGTGTCGTCGTTAGGCACTAGTTTGTCACTGTCAATTTGCACTCTCAAGTTTGCACGCCGCCTCCTCCGTCTGCGGAAACCGTCAACGACCCCAGAGTCGAACCTTCAAACCGAGCAGGAAGCCAACCTGTTACGGAGCCGCTGAAAACTGCAGGTCCTGTCTGAGATCCAGGGGCTAAAGGACGGCGCAGTGAAGGGCTGCCAGTTTGAGTACAGCAACAGTATCCCACGTACCGTCTCTGATGGCAGGGTCGGGTTACTTACTTCGTTTAAGCCTGTTTATCTCAGGGTGCATCCTGTCTTAGTGTAGGACCAGCACCTCAATGTAAAGGTGGAGGTCAAGGGTCATGAACTTAGGGGATCAACTTTGCAAACGGTCAGCTGGACGTACCATACCTGGGTAGGTTTTGCTTTCGTGCCTGTGTGTTAAGTCGCAGCTGCAAAGACTTTCTGCCACGCCTGCCACGGCAGCTCCCACGCTCTGCCCGAAGTGCAGGACACGGTCCTTTCCATGGTCTCCGAGCTGCGAAGCAAGGACATGGAAAGAGGCGCCTGGTTCTAGGAGTAAAGCGCGAACATGTGGCATCTGGAGTACCAATGTTGAACCACTAAGGAACCACTCACCTGAACTACCACGGTTCTGCAAGTCCAGACCTTCGCACTGACAGAGCGGAAAAGCCTTGACAAGCGGCCAGCTAGTTGCAGGTCAGCTGGAGATGCGAGCGGAACACGAGAAGCAACTGAGCCTTTGCCAAGACTACACTCGCTCCGGAGTTGGGGTGTCGGTAATAACTCATGGTTCATTTTGGCAGGATTTCGGGATCAACTGTGACAGTTGAGGAAGTTGAATGTTCAGATTTTGTTTTGCTCTCCACCGCACCAGAACCCCAACTATTTCGGTTTTTCCTTATCCCAATGTGACGTGCACGTGGGAGCTATGGCCGCACAGAATGTCGGGTTGTGCCGTGCGTTAATTCCCACGACTCTTGTTCCGTGCAACAAGCTTGAAGTCCTGAAGGCTGTGAAGGAAGTGAGAGGAATAGCCATAGATGAGTTGCGGGACATCTTGTCGCTTGCTACAGTTCCGGGCTGGGGTTGCATGTTGAGAGGGGGCGGCGCAGTCGAATATGACAGCGTCAGAAAAGCAGTCTCCATGATCCCAGGATAGCCCTCGAGCGCCGCTTTTCCAAGCAGCATCTCGGCTGTCTGGGTGAGAACAGCGAATCTTGCAGTGGCAAAGCACACTTACCCGGACCCTATCTGGTACGGCAAGAGCGTGCAATGTTGCTATTATATAAATGTATATTTCTTGTTGCATGCTTCGCATGTTTCTGATTTGGTGATAAACTTCGGGGCACAGGGCGACCAGAGACGACTGCTGCACGGGACCTGGCGAGAGCACAATCGCGTGGGCTGTGGGCACCCGAGCTTGCGACGACCATGAGCCTCCGAAACGGGGTTGTGACAGGGGGGTGGTGGGGGTTGGGGTGGTCCAAGCACCGCCAACATGTGGCGTCTCGGCAGGGGGTGGGGGTGAAGAGGGATGGTACACGCACATGGGCGTACGTCCTTGGTCATTCAGATTCAGACCTGTTGTCATGGGGCGACACCGGGACATGTTGCCTGTGCATCTATCCGTGTATTGTTCAATAATACATTCGTTCCTTCTTTCATCAATTCTTTCGTTGATAGGTGTGTGTTTGTGTGTGTATATGTGTGCATATGCGCTTAGTTGTTGGATAGGTATCGATAGATAGCTGACTGCTAGCTCGGAAGGTCGGCAGATAGAAGCATGCACGCACAGCTCTGATTTGCTGATGCACGTAGGTCCGTGTTTCATACTATAGTATAATGTATTGTACTATGATAGAATATAATCAATAGAATATCACATAGCAACAGTTTAATATGAGATAGTACAATACACTAGAATAAGAAAGTATCGCACAGCAACAGTTTAATATGATGTAGTATAATGTAATATAATATGCTGTACTAATAACGGGGGCCCCGACATGGCTTCCTTCCAGTCCCGAGGCTGGCAGAGGCTCGCCAGACCTCCGAGATCTCCTTGGAAAGCTTGCGGAAGGGCTACGAGCAGCCGGGTGTGAACTTGAGAGGGAGAGGCTGGGCTTTAGGGGTTTAGGGGTTTTAGGGGTTTAGGGCTTTCGGGGTTTGGGGGTAAAGTTTAGAGGTTAAGGGGTTTTAGGGGTTTAGGGCTTTCGGGGTTTGGGGGTTTAGAGGTTTTAGGGCTTTAGGGCTTTAGGGGTCTAGGGCTTTAGGGTTTAGGGGTTTGGGTGTTTAGGGCTTTCAGGGTTTAGGGCTTGAGGGCTTTAAGGGGTTTAGGGCTTGAGGGTGGTTTAGGGGTTTAGGGCCTAGGGTTTAGGGGAGAGTCCCTCAGTCCCTTCGGGGCCAGGGTTTGGGGTGGACTTTGTGGCGCGTGCTTGGAGTCGAGCGGCTAGCGCCCAACTTGCAGTTTCAACTCGCCACCGAGGCAAGAGGTGGAGACCCTGAAGAACGAGAAGATGAAGCTTTCTGAGCGTCTGAAGGCCGTGGACTCCATGCCCTGATCGCAAACCTTACGTCAGTGTAGGGGGAGATTCGAGAGATCACAGTTGCTCGTGAGGCTCTGAGGCGATAGAAGTCTCGTAAGACTTCCCTCTGCTCCAGGAGGCGGAGTGCCAGCTGCAGCTGGCAAGGGGCGAAGTTCAGGCCGGGTCGGACGAGGGAAGGGAGAGGACATCAGAGGACTGAGGGATGCAACGCCTGTTCACCGATCGCCAACCTGCCCGCTTCCCCAAAGATCAAAATATCCGCTGATCTGCAGTTTCCACCTGCCCACCGTTCTCCTTCTCACCGAGATCCTCTTGCTCTGTCTCTCTGGTTTCATGCGTGCGAGCACATTTACGTGCATGCAAGTTCTTGTCCTTGATCCGGTTTGCAGGCGCAAGCGTCGCAGCTTCGCCAGGCAGAGGCGACACACAGGCTGACGACCAGAGCAACGCTTCAGATTCGGGCTACGATCGGATTTCGTTTGAGAGGGTCCGATCTTGCTTCAGCTTCGTGACGACCCAGAACCAGGGCACTTGTGACCAGGTCCATGATTAGGCCATATTAGGCCCTTAGGCGAGGATGTTGGACTGGCGCTGCGTTTCTTGTTTCTGTGATCCGAACTACCAGCAAGACAAAGTCATCGGACTGAGGATGCCTCGGCACCTTTTGTGTCAGCACTGGAGCAGTTGGGAGAGGAGTTCACGTTTTCCAGTCATGCCTTGAAGTCTCGAAGCTTTAGGGTTTAGGGTTTAGGGTCTGCGACCCGTAGGTCTGGTCTATTGGGCAATTCAAAAGCCACTGTTCTCAGTGTTGCAGAATCGTCAGGAAGGTCCGCGAAGACAACTTCGGGTGTGGAAACATCTTTCCTCTATCCCTACTATACGATAATATACTATAATATACTATAATATACTATAAATACTATAAACACTCTCATATAATATACTATAAATCAAATATATAAGGAGCCCCCAACATAGTTTTGGTAAGTATTACCCCGATGCCACCCGGCCATGCTGTTCAGGCAGTCTCAGCTCGTCTTCGCCTTCCTCGAGAAATGTTCAGATCATGGAGGTGGGCTAAGAAAAGTCTGGGACGGGGCTTCCGGATGAAGCATAATAATTATAATATGATTCTAGAATGATTCTAATCAGAGTATATATTATCATATCCGTAGTCTTGGCCGCCCGCACTTATCATATCAGTGGTCTTGGCCGCCCGCACTTGGGTGTACACACTTCGTTTGGTACGTTTCGGCAGGAGAGTTGGCCAGTCTTTACCTCGCAGCTGTGGCAGGGCGAGAGGGAAAAATAGAGCATAACGGTATATGTATAATTACAACATGAGTATACAAAAAAGAAGAAAAAGTATTATTTGTGCTCCAATGTTTCGGGCTGCTGGCTTCGAAGGTTCAGGTTCGCCCAACAGTTGGAGGCCCATTCCTGACGACTCCAACAAAGCGACCTGCAGGTTCGCCGAGTGTCCAATCGCAAACCCCAGGCAAAGACGTCGATGATCTTCGCGACGAGCTGCGCTCTTTCGTTGCGAAGTCTCCGTGAGCCTTTTGGTCGTGAAGAAGGTTCGTAATTGAGGCGTCGAGGTTTTTTGGGGTACACGACGCATGAGGCGTTCTGCATTGGTTCCATGAGTGGCCTCAGCCTGGGAGATCTGTTGGGGTGATTCAGGGGAGCCTGAAATTCTCATCGCTGAGCCTGGCTCTCATTTGCCAGGAAAACCCTAGCCAAGGCTGGGCTGACATGGCTTTCCGATCCACATCCACGAGACCAGCAACCGGGCGCCCGAGCAGAAGCCCAGGGCCGAAGAGCCCAAAGGCAGCGAAAGACAGCCAGAGCACTGGGTAGGAGCCGGCCTCCGAGAAGTGAGAAGTCTGCGCCAGCCGCAGACCGGTGCACGCTACTAGTAGCTGCTGGCCTCGTAGCTTCGATTCGCCTCTAGGTGGAGAGTCGTAAGTCGCAAGGCTCAGGCGCAAATCAGATTTTGACACAGCACTTCGCACACTTTGCGTTCCGCCTGAGCCTTGGCAGAAGACGTCCAGATGGACAGCTAGACTCCCACAGGCTGTGAAGCGCTTGTCAATGCAATAAAAAGTGACGACGTTGGGGCTGGGATGTGGCCCCCGTGCTCCGCGAGGGTGGCTTTTAGTGATCTTTTGAGCGAGAGCTCTGCTCTTGTCGTCATGTCCTGGCTGCAGGTGCTGTCAGCATCGCTCCAAACAAGAGTTTGCTTTTTGTGTTTCTCTTTGTTTTGGTGGCCATGGCTCTTGCACAGTCGCTCTTACAAACGAGGAACGAAGGAGCGCAAAGAACGCAACTTCTGCATGCTGCATGCAGTTTATTCTCTCAAGCCGGATTCAGCTTTTGCCAGCCGGTTACAGAGGTGTCGAGAGTTGGGGTAATCGGTAAAGAATGCTCCATTTCGTAAGCATGTTTGTCCGTCGGTTGTCGTTGGAGTTTAGTTAGCCGATCTCATAGGTTCTCGAAGTTTCGAGCATGTCATCACCACGCTTTCCGAGCAGAGGGTCCTCGCCCCGCCGGCAGACTTGGTACCTTGGCTGCTGTTCGCAAGAGTGTTGGTATTTTGTTTGCAGCTGGACAACTTCGTTCATGTGCCCCTTTGCATGGAACTATGCTGCTAGTGGTTCTGAGCCTGCCTGAGATCTACTTGGCTTGTGCGGGCACGCGTCGAAAGCATTTTTTCGCAGTTCCTGCTTGTCTTCTGGACTGTACCTGTGCGGTAAGCTTCAAGAGTTGAAGAACTGAGGCAGAAGCTTTGGGTGTTTGAGTCGCAGCGCGAACAGCATGACTAGAGTCGGGTTGGCCAGTGCTGCACAAACCAGGTCAGCAACGCCCCCCTGGTCCAAGATGGATGATGCTTGACTCCGACGCTGTCCGCCTTGCTGAGGGTTTTGCTCCAAGCAAGGCCAGGCTGATCTGGTCTTTTCAAGGTTTGGCGAAGAATCTCTGCCGTGACCTCGAATCCCGAACCCTACAGTACCTCGAATTCCGCGTCACTTCCACCGCGTCCCTTGCAGGCTACAGCCTGGGCTGTCTTCTGCCGCTGCATTGCCGTCCGGTGCCTGAGCCCTGAGGCTCCGTGCAGGGTATCGGAAATAGAAAGCTCTTTGTCATACAGGTAGCAGTAGCAGTAGCATTTATCCCGTACTGCTTAATGCACGTGCCCGGTCTACAATCACAAGCACTGCCCCGCTGGTAAGGCATAGCACAGGGTCAGAAGCAACACGGGAACAGCAAAACATAGCAAAAACCACGGGAACGGACGGCGAAATCTCTTTCGAAGTGGCTGAGGGCTGAGACTCTGGTCCCGAAAGCTCCAGGGACCTTACCACTCGGTGTCGAAGCTGAGCGCATTTCTACTTTGAAAGGTGAAGGTCGCGAGGCGAAGGTCTCGCAACAACCCAGAGGCCCCATAGTAGTTCCTTTTTGGGATTACTTTATAAAGAATTCTAAACCTGAACCCCAAAAAGGAACTACTTTGGGGCCTTAGGGTAGAGTCACCTTTGCATTTCCTTGAGACCCGCTTGACGTCTCTTCAGGAGTGAGCTGCCCGGAAGAGCTCCTGCTATCGAATGCGCGTTTGCTGATTGGAAGGCGCGGGCGGTTTGATGTGACCTTCATCACAGAAGTCTGGGATAGTCTGGGTGTGTTGAAGCCAAGTGCTTTCGGGTTTGGAGTCCACGGCCATTGTCCTGCGATGTGAGGCCGACAGAGCACGCCGGGAGTTTTCTGCTTCACGGACCAACGCCGATGGCGGCTCCGGGAATCTGGATGCCTCGCCGCTGTAATCGTCACCAGCAGATTTCGCTGCGCGGCTTCCTTTCGGAAGTTGCGTGTTTGCAGCGGTGGCAACAGCACCCCGTCTCTCGCTTCCATAGAGTGGGATTGGGGCGCATAGCCCACCGCTGCTGGCCTGCATAGAGCCAGACTGTGCGTCAGTTTCGGCTTCGAGTAGCCGCCTTAGGAAGCATTGAAATGCCATCTCAGGATCGGGAGTTCTGTCGCTCATCTCACATGGCAGCCACTGCGAGATTCGTGTCCTGCGGATCCTGTCGACCGGGCGCATCATCGATCCAAAACCTCGGGCTGCCCCCACACTGACCGGCAGAAGGACGGCGACCTTCCAAAAAAGGCACGCTACTCGTAGATGGTCCCGATGTTACCATTCAGCTTCGACACCTTGCAAAAGATGAACACCGTCAACCCCGGAACTGTTAAGTCATCCGAACCATGCTACTTGTAGTCTGCTTGTAGTAGATGTCCCGAACCACCTCCCAAGCAGGGGTAAAACTATAATACTTAGAGCCCAAACTCTGCTCCCGTCTCAGGGAACCTGTTGCCCGAAGTGGATGACGACGAAGCGGTTCATTGCGAGAACCTCCCAGGACGGGAGGAAGTGTCGATGAAGTTTCAGAACGGCTGTTCATCATGCGACATGTAGCATGCAGCCGGCTGTTTGGGAAAATCAAATCTGCGATTTGTGCTCAAGTGCAACATGACTCCATACCAAGTCAGCAGGGTCGCCGTCTTGCTCTTGAGAGTTGTGCTTTCGCTTGCGTTCTGAAGTATGTTCACATTACAGTGTTCGCAGAATATTCACGCCCGATGAGAGTGGTATTGCTAATCTCGTCTTCAGACCTTGCCTGGATGCGTCCGAGAGTAAGTGTCAATAATTCCGAGCAGATCACTTCAGCCCTATGCGCTTTGCCAGGACATTTGTGCCGCGATTGCTTCACCCGGTCGTCTGCTCTTGCAGTCAATCCTTCACTGGTACAGCTTGAAACACACGCACAGTTGGAACCGAGCCTTTGCCAAGTCCATCCTTTCCCAAGTTAGTAGTAAGCAGTCTTGTCTCAATGCTTGCAAAATGTGAAACTTGAACCGTGCAATCTCCATGCGTGTGAGCTTGCCACCGGGGGATCCTAACATGCTGACCGTGCGAACGGGTCCAAGAGTTGTGTTCCTGCCAGAAACGGGCCGTCAAGCTCAGAGCGATTCTGCGACCCTGCAGTCACCGTCCTGTCCAGAACCCTTGATGCTTCGTCTCCGATGTCTTGGAGACTCTGCAGGGCAGGCGTGAAGCCCATCTCGTCCTAAGCTCCTGGCATGGCGAGCTTGAAGTGTCGTGAGCTTCAGTTGGGTCGTCAGCAGGTGCAATAGCATGTTGCATGTAACAAGGGACTGCTCTTGACAGCAAGCCCGCGCCAACCTTGAAATGTGGCTGTCGTTTAGTGCCACTGTGCACACTATGAGCTTGGCTCTAGCAGGCACCCGATGCTTGCACCCCACAGTCCCCGACAGCCGCATCCGGGCCATGGTGCTGCAGGCTTGCCCTGCCTCGGGCAGTCAAGTCAAATGCCGGTGCTGCATGAGAGTGTCAGAATGCGATGTCGCTCCAGCCATTGTCGGATGCAGCAGCTTGAGGACGGGTCCAACTGCAAGTTCCAGCAGAAGCAACTGTCCGCTGATGTCAGCTTTGACACGGGCTTGCCTAGATTTGTCCGTCTCTGCACCCGATTCTCGATCAGCGAGCTGCAGTGGAGCTACCATAGGGGTGAGTGTCAGCACCCCCTGCCGGCTTTCGGCATCCTGCTTCTTATCTGAACCATAAGGAACACCACCGACCCCTGGGCGAGTGCCGTCAGATTACCTCAGCAGCAGTGGCAAGATCAGATGGCGGCCGCTTGAGCATGCGAATCACCTTGGTGTACTCCAAGAAACCGGCACAGAGTAAGCAGGTCTTAGGCTTAGCCGGAATAGCTGGTGGGTTGGTTGGATATGGTCGTGTGTCCGGGCTCTAATGGCATCAAGAGCCTGTCTGCCGATCCCTGGATCTTTTCAGTATTGTCGTTGCTATGCCGCTATGCGAAGTTATACAGCCAGTCCGGATGGTTCGGAAGGGTTTCTGCCTATTGAGAGATGTTGCTGGAAGCACTTTCCGAGAGTATTTAGATATCTGCTGATATGACTGATGGTCTTTTTCGGACGAGCAGCAAAAACTTGGTTTTTATTAAGCTTACGTGAATTCAAAAATTCCATCTCACATGCTATTGTTCACTGCATTTCTCAGCCCCAAGCTTTCCTTTGACTCTCACTTCGTTTCCCTTCCCTCTCGTGTAGCTCCGTTTACCAAAACTTTTTCTCGGGACAGAGCTGAGCTTGCAAGCATGCCAATGGCCTCCTTAGACACAGCACAACGAGGATGTACGGCAACCCGCATATCATCGATATCGTGTTGATGGTTTCCGAGCCGAGTCAGTCCGATGTAGTTCTGGTAGGTTGGGCTTAGCCAGAGCAGCGATGCGTGTGAAAACGGACAACGGGAAAGCGCTGCTCTCGCCCGCCTCATTGTGGCCAGAGCATTATCTCTGCACCCTCGCGGTCGTCGGGTAGGAAGATTTGTATCGTGAACGGCATGGTGGAAGCGACTGCAAAGGATTCGGGCAGTGCGGCATCTTATTCCTTCTCGAGTGGCAGCATGCAATTTGGGGATTCACTTGGGGTAGTTCGTTGAAACTGTCAAC